AAAGGAAAACATGCAAGTGTTTCTAACATTTAAATTCTATACATTATTTTCTATGATGAAATCTGAAGACTTGCATTAAATGAATGGGTTTTTTATATGAGCAGGACTCTGACATCCTTATGGACTCAAGTAGACAATTATGTGCGATACCTCAGCAACAATGTTTACAAGTAAGGTCTCTCTTCTTTTGCTCAATAACTACTTCCTGATTTCCCTTTATATCTTAATGTTGGGTGAACAGCATTGGAAGTGTAAGGATGAGCAAATTCTAAGGACAGGCTGTTCAGAGAAGGGTAAGGGGTCCACACAACTGAAGAGGGATAAGATAGAGTATGTAGGGAAGGCCACTGAGGACTTAGCTAGTGGCCAGATCACACACATCCCTTTATTGAATGGGCTGTAAAGCCATAGGGTGGTTTACAGTAGGAAAGTAACATGACTGGACCTATATTTTCATAAGATTTGGAGCCCAGAGAGGAGAATGTACTCTTATAGATAAAAGCAGCAACAAACATTAGTTGTGAGGCTACTGCACAGAAAAATCATGAATATTCCCTGGTTTTTTGTTATAAACACCTGAAAGGAGTGAAACTCCTTGCAAACTTTGGGGACAACAATATTGATGAGAGGAAATCAAATTGCTCTAACTTTAAGACATCTATTACATAGCCAAGTAGACACACCTAGTAGGTAGTTGATTACATGAGAAAAAGGTTAAGAGAGAAGTCAGAATGGAAGATATGAACTTAGGAATCAGCAGCAGAGAGATGGTATTCAAAACCATGTGCCTAGATGGGATCACTTAGGCAGTGACAATAAAGAATCCTTGTTATTTAATGAGAGAACCATGAATATCCCAGTAGCAAATCTACATCATCTACAAGCCCAGTGACTAAGAGAAAGAACTATTTCCAAGCTGGATGGATCAACCATGTGGATTCACTGTGTCAAATATTACCAAGAAGTCAAGGGAAAAAAGATTGAAAATTAACCATTTGATTTGAGGAATTGAAGGTTAGTGACCTTGACAAGATTGACTTTAGTGTGGCACTGGGAATGAAAACCAGACTGGAGATGTGTTCAAGAGAAAGTGGAAGGAGAGGAAGTGTGACTAAAAAGTATAATTAGTTTATTATTTTCAGAGGTTTGCTATAAAAGGCTGCAGAGAAATTGGCCACCAACTAGACAGAGTTGTAAAGACATGAGAGAATTGTTTTAATATCATGAGTGGACATATTGCAATAGATTTCTACACTGATTAGAAGGATGAGAAATGGAGGAGAGAAAAGCAGCGCAGCAGAGTCAAGACCTTCAGTGGGGGGCAGTAGAGTGGGGCAGCATAGTAGGGCGAGGGGCTTACGGTGAGTACAAGCAGCAGAACAGAGATGGAGGCAGAGGGAGCAATCCCAGGGTGCCAGACCCGAGGCTTGATGATGGAAAAACCAGGAATGCATCTTCTGGCTAATTCTGTTTTCCAAGCAAAATTAAAATGCAAAATCAAAATGAGCAAGTGAGAGTCAAAGTTCAAGGTGAGACCTGGAGGGAGGGAAGAGTCAAGCTGCAGCATGGGAAGGCTGAGAGGACAGAGCAGGGACACAGTGCTGCCAGGTGCTGGGAAGCGAGTCTCTAGCACACACCCTACACCCTGCCTTGCCACTCCTGGCCCTGCTGGATGCAGAAAGGCACAGGGCTGGCCTGAGTGCCATGCCACAGCGCCTTCTCTCTGCTCTCTGAGTTCTTCTGTAACTGCATGTGAACTAGCTGCTGTACCCTCAGCCAAAAGCTCAAGGAAGATACAACCCCAAGGCATAAGTCTTGGCCTGGAGAAGAGATGTAGGGGTAAATATCCTCTCTTCAACTCCTCTGGCAATTGTGAGCTTCTTTCTGTAAGGCTCCTTGGAGATTCCCAACAGGGAATCAGGATTCCAGGGTGGCATCTGACTGGTAGGCAGTAGGTTTTCTTTCCTTCCTCCCTTTCCCGTTTCACTTTTCCCACTTCCCCACTCCACTTCTTCAGTCATTTGTCCAAGTAAGCTTAGCTCAGACTCTGCCTTTTGGGTAAATCTAGCTAAGTCACCAGCTCCCAGAGAGACATACACTCAAATGCTCTCTGAGATGAGCTTATGCAGAACCTCATACTTACTCCTTCCTCATCTTTCTCCTCTGACCAGCTACATTGGCATTAAGGAAGCTGGCTAAGTTGTAGACAGATGCTACCCACTTAAATACAAAGGCCTCCTCCGAGTGAGGGGAGCACCTCATGTCTTTCTAGGTACCAGGTCATGACTCTTCTCTAAACCACATATTTAATCAAGCAAGCCAATCAAGTCAGGAAATAAAAGTTAACATCTAAAAGTTCAAATTCAAACCAAAGTCCTACCATGACATCATATCCATTTTTGCTACATTATAGATCACTATGTAAACCTTAAGAAAGAGAAAAGTATGTTATAGATGCCTGAATTCTCACTGGATCCCATCTCTCCCTCTCTCTGGGACAGCCTTCTGCTGTTCTTGGCCTTCTCCTCTCAAGCGGCTCCAGAGAGTGGGTCACTAGAGAGCGGGAGGAGGGCTTGTTGGCTAGCGAACCTTTCAGGTGGTTGGCTCCAACCTGGACAATGGCGAAGACCTCCTAAGAATGATCGTCCTGATTCCTTTCCCAAGCAGCTGGGCTCTTCAGACTACCCGGCTGGGAGCAGTGGGGGTTAAGAGAAGGCAGTCAGAACAAAGGGGAGCACCACAGAGCCCTGTCAGGTGGTGACTGAGGGGTCTCCCTGCCAAGAGAGACTGCTCAGTCTTTCTCTAGGGCTCAGCCATTGCCTTCCACCCTGCGGATTGGCCTTTGAGGGGCCAAGATGTCTCCTTAGACAGCAGGCTTGCTTCATGATTCTTGGAAATGCATCTGTATCTTTCATAAAACATTACAGGGAACATCCAGAACATTCATAACATGTTCATAAATACAAATCTTTAAATGAAATGATTTTTCCCCCTTGGATGAAATGAACTTGTTGAAAAAAAGAAGCATTTGGCATTCCTCAAACAGCTTTGGATCATGTGCTGTTTAAGTAACTGTCAGTCCACTGCTGGGTTCATTGACACTTGGTTCTTTAATGGTGCTTAGAGTGAATAATGCTGTCTGCACAGAGAGGGTAAAGAAAACAGGCCTGCGAAATTCACACCATGGCCTGGTGGACGGTGAGAACCAGTATTTCTGATATGCTTATTAACTTTGAAGCCTAAATTCTCGTCACATGCAATCAACAAGAAGTCAAAATAATTATTACATCCAAATGCTGTGTGTACAGGTTCAGTCTATTTTTATAAAAGAAAAAAAAACCCTCAACAGATGGCTAGAAAGAGTAGTTGAAGACATCAAAAACAGCTGAATAAACTTTCCATAGTCTGGGGGGAGAGAGAGAGAGAGAGAGAGAGAGAGAGAGAGAGAGAGAGAGAGTCAAATAAGCTTACTTTCTAACTTTTGTATAGTAGAGGCTCATTGACGATTGTTACACAGACTATTTTAACATGTATTAACTATTTTAAATATAATTTACATATATAAAATTATTAAAAATACATATTATGGGCAATATTTAATCATACATAAACATTGTAATTATAAGTCATTTTCATAGTCATTACTTTGTGTAAGCAATTTAATGGCATGATTCATACTGTTGTTTTATTAGCCTTATCACAGAGAAAGACAGTAGGTAAAAGATATCTCTGTGTTAAAGATTATACAATAAGTATGTCTTCATTGAAAGTTACCAACAATCTTAATTTGTTACAGGGATATGGGAAATTGGGCCAAATGAAATTCTCCTAGAAGATACAACCTTGAAAAAGGCAGAATAGCACCAATGGTCTGCAGAGCAGCCTGGAATGGGCTTCAAAGACCTCGATCTCATCCTATCATTGACTTATTTGTGTTGCCTTGGACAAAACTGATGAATTCTCTAGACCCAGGTTTCATCAACCCTTAAATGAATGGATTGAAACACACAATATCTCAATTTTCTTCAGCTCTAGTGTTTAAGGATTCTAACAGACAGAGTCAGGTCACTATATCTTATCCATATCGTACTTTGAAGCTCAAGTGAACAATATTTCTCTTCCTCTCTCCCCAAACCTCTTCTCCAAGACCGTGATTGTTATAGGAATGATACTGGAATGCACACTCACTGTCAGTTCCTCATACTTGGAGATTAGTTTTAATCAGCAATTGCACAAAGAAAAATGTAGTCAGAGGCCTACGCCTGTGGCTTGCTCTGCCCAGGGCTGTCTGTCTGAAGAGCTCAGAGTGCTGCCAGGGGACTCATCACCTAAGATGGAACCAACAGGGAGGTGAGGAGAGTTGGGCATGTTCCTGCTTTGTCCTCCATAGCAAGTGCCATTCTCATTACCGGACCTGCCAGCCAAAGGGGGTCCTTGCAGCAGGCCTCTCACATCCATCCTTGCTTTTAGATTCTTACTCCTGTTACCAGACACTTCGTTAACTGTAAAAGTAAGAAGGTTTTGACTGATGTTCAGACCTCTTCCGTTTCATTCCCATTACTGTTCACCGAAGCTTTAGTACCCTCACTGGAAGCAGCACAGGTAAAACTGCTATTAGTATTAAAGTATATCCTTACTCCACGAACCCTACAAGTCATGAATATTTGTATTTGATAAAATCCCAAAAGTTCAAGCATTGTAATTGCTCATCTATGACTCACATGCAAATACCACTGATTCTTAGTTGTTACAGTCACTGAGGTATGTTGTCCTATTCTGCTGTTGGTCCTTCTTCCAACATTAATATTATCTAATATTCTGCTTTGTTCCACCAGTATATTAGACTCCAGATATATAAATTTTTATGAACTCTTATCCAAAGATTATACTATCATATGTTTTTAGCACTGATTTAGGTCCAGTTTTTTGTTTTATTTGTTTTTGAGGCTGATAGGATGCAGGCAAAGCCTGACACCCTGCCCAACCCCTCCCTGGAGCCGGGGCCCTTCAGACCCACAAGTGTCAAAGGTTCCAGGACACTGTGTCCTCAGATCAAATCCCAGGCTGGACATCACAGGGGCCAAATTCTTCAATGAACGCTGTTTGCTTCAACAAAACTATTTTTAAAATCTTTTATGAGGTGACAGCATCTGTAGTTTTCACTTATTTAAAATTTGTGCCTTCTTAATAAATCCAATTCATAAGTTTAGACTCAGATGGAAAGAGAGAAAAAGAGAGAGAGAGAGACAGACAGACAGACTGACTGATAGAGGGACAGACAGACAGAGACAGTGACAGAGACAGAGACAGAGTGACAGAGACAGACAGAGAGACAGAGACAGAGAGACAGAGACAGAGAGACAGAGGACTTTAGAAAGTAACAGGGTATGTGAGGAGAGAATATGTTTTAATAATAGAATTTCCTAAAAGTTTGACTTACATAGCAATCTGTTATTTAATTTACAGAAGGCTGATTTAATACTTTCCAAAATTCATTTATTACACAAAATAAGATGGTTTAAATATTTTGAGATGGCATTGTTTTAAATATAAACACTAATAACAACAAACAAATTTTTTGGCCACATAATACACTCAAAATTCAATAAATCCTTAAGATTCAATAATATAACCACCAAGGAAAGGGGAATCACAGGATTTTCCAAAGCCTTGGAATAAAGAAGTGGATTAAGTCCAGCTGTGTTCCCTTCTAATTTTAGCATATTTATCCCCCCCTCTTATTCCACCAAATCTGTTTAATTAGCACATTACTTGGCAGTTTGTTATCTGGTATGAACATTTGTTAATTCTTAGTAAATTCCATATGTAAAATTCCAAGTGATAGATCAAATGTGCTAATTACATGAAAATGTATCTCCAAATCTACTTTACTTTCTCTACTCATCATCCTTTAGAAATACATGTCTTACGAGAAAGCTTTTTACACATTGCTTTGGAAATTAGATTTCTAGTGCCATGCGTGACATTGTGGAAGGACCTAGTCCCGTGAAGGCTGTTTCTCTACTCATATTTGTATTTTGAATGGACCAGAAATAGCAAGTTTAGACCTCCATGTGGCCATGGGTCCAGGTTTTCCATGAAGGTAAAAGGATGTGGACAAGCTTCATGTGTTTTAAATGGACCTAAAACCTGGAAACAGGTTTGCTTTATGATTCTCCTCCTCCACTACACCCTACCTAGCTGTTCCAAGGCCTATGTATGACTCTGCTAGGCACCGAGAGTTGGCTGCCCTGCAGGGCTAGACACCCCCTCCCCAAGCGTTCCCTGTGGCTCTTGCCCCTTCCCTTTCTCTCTAAAGCCTTCCAGACAGAGATGCAGGGCAGGCATCTTTGTTGATCCAGTGGCAAAGCTAACTCTGGCCATGTGCAGTGAAACATATCTGCTAATTTAGAAGATAACTGGCTCTTCTGAGTCCTCACCCTGGCACCTCGCTTTTCCTGTTTTTCCAGACAACCCCGGGGGGAGAGATAGACCAAATTACTAAGCCAAGCTATTATGGAGGTTGCAAAATTTTATTTCCTGTGAAGAACTGAGGTTTAATTAGTGAAAAAGGAAGTGAAGCTGAGAATGATAAGTAAATGTCACTCTTTGTCTGTCTAGTGAGATTGTCCTCAGTATTTCTGAACTTTATTATCCAAACAACAGGGGGACAGCGTGGCTTGGCTCCTCCAATAACCTCACCCTCATTATAGCTCATGTAAAGCTGCGAATTTCTGTCAGCTCTTCCAGTGGCTTTGGACTGAGGAGAAGTAAACCTCAAAAGGTTTGTAACTTGGAGGAAGTTCAGATACACATCCAGAATTTGGCTGCCTCTCCAAAGCTTATCCAAACTATCTCAACCTTTTAAGTCTTCAGAATTGGCCCGAAAATTTCTGGGTTTTTCTTGCTTGACCTAGCCTGTAACTACATAGGATGGTGTTTTATAAAGATTCGGGGATCGGAAGGGGGCGCTAAAAATGAATGGGATGACAATTTCCTAGGGGAATGTAGTTATTATGTATCACAACCATATGCTAATAGAAATAAAGAAGAATAAATGATTCAAAAATGTAATACATGTGAGTAGTATTCAGCATAAAGGATAAATTTGAGTCATTTGTAAGAAAATGGATGTTCCTTGAGACCATAAGCCTAAGTGAAATAAAGCAGAGGTTGTTGAAATATCCACAGGTTTCTCTAATATGAGACACTCAAAATATAAATAATTTAAAGAGTAAAATAAAAAAGAAACAAGGAGGTAGACTGCGTGAGACACAGGCCAGCAAACTGAAAGGGAAGATGCACCCAAGATATGGGTAGCACCAACTATTAGTCTCCTAGAGGGGACAACAGGGGAAAGAAGAGCAAAGGTCCCATTTAGGAAAAGCTGCAGGCCTTGGACATTGGTCTCCAGCTCCTTGAGTCTCACAACACAGCCTCCTGGCCATGCCACTGGGAAGCTCAGGGAAGGGGATGAGAGGGGTAGGTGGTGAATGGTGTACACGAGCTCTCCAAGAGGGGCCTCATTATTATGCATTACAAATGTAAACTTAGAAATGTGCATTGAAAAGGATTTTTGACACCTCTGGTTCTGATGCTACTTACAAACTGCAGATGAGAAATTAACAGCAACAAACAATGGATGTTCCTTGAGACCATATTTTGGAACATCCATAAGCAATTGAAGTTTTTTTTTTGATATGGCATCTATATTTATTGTCAAATCTATTGCTCAGATTCACAGATATATTCATAAAATATGGAACATATGATTGAATATTACCACATGCTTTCAAGAAAATTTAAATTTTTGTTCTTGTCTCTCATGTTCTTTTATTACTTTTCATAAAAATTTACTTTAAAGACAATATAGCAATAATTAATATGACA